GCGGGAGCCCATGGGCGTGTTGTGAAGACTGGCCGCCACACGCTTGGCTACTCGCTTGTCCCGGAACTCCACCCAGCCCTCCGTGTAGTCCTTGCTGTATTTGGACCGCTTTTTCCCTCCGGCCGCGGAGGCAGCTGCTGCCTTCTTCTTGCGCCGCACGAACCCGTCTGGAGTCCAAGACAAAGCAGTGGTCAAAGAGGCCCGTACAGTATCCATTCAACAGCACCTCCCACTTACCAATTCTCCAGACCTCCCCGCAGGCCAGGATCCCACCTTGTCTTTGCCCAGAAGTGGCTAACTGCATAGTCCACACTTTACCCCTTGTCTAAACTCAACCTTTTCCTCAAATGTTAATTCTTTCATCATTACGTCTGCCCCAATCTTTCTATTTAAAACCTGCACCGGCCCCCAACCCCAGTTCCAATTAGTGACTGAATGGGAGTTGGGCGCGGCCTATCACATACTGTCTCTTGACCTGGGCCTCGACACGACAAAGAGATACGTTCAGTTTTGTGGAAAAGTCACTGAGATTTTAATTCAGGCCGTACTCATTTAACAAACTGGTAAATTCGCCTCAAGAAAGTAGCGTGGGCGAAGCCAAGATTAGAATCCAAAAAGTAGCGAAGAGCTTAGGCTCAGCTAGGTATATAGGGCTACCCACATTCCATTTCAGCCTTCTAAGAAACGTGCGCGTCACCTATTTACCAAAGAAAACAGACGCAGGTCCCCGACCCCGTCAGAGCCTTCACGCGCAGCTGAGGCAACAAAACACGCACTGTGTATTCACTGCCAACGAGTACCACCCCTCTTCCCTCACCATCAAGGCCTGAGCACTTACCCTCCGCCTGGAAAAAAACACGCCCGACCTCCCCGTAGGCGCTGAGAAGGTTCCGTACGTGTAAAGGCCTAAAGCGGGGCGGGATGTGGCCCAGGTACACAATGCCCGGCACTACCCGTTTCTTGCTGCCGCCAGCCGCCTCTTCAGATTCCTCCTGTTCCTCCAATGCCTCTAGTTTCTGGTCACTCCCTTCCAGAGGTCCCAGCTCCGCAGCGCCCGGCTCCAAACCCTCTGCCTCCATGCTTGCCGGTACGTAAGACGGAGCAGCGTAAAGCGCCGCGCCTCTGACGCACTTGTGTGCGACGGCCTGCGTTGGGTGGGCGGGGCCAGCTCGTCTGACGTCAAACGGCAAGAAAGAACTGGGCCGTGCCCGGCAGTGCAGGACTAGCGGAGAGGGCGGAGGCAGGCCCCGGGTCAGCCGCGAGATTCAAAGCCTTGAGAGCCCTTGTCTCCCGAGCTGAAGAGACAAAGGCGAGGTAGACCCTCAAGTATAATTTACCCTAGAGGATTCCGTGGTGAGATGCAAAAGGAGGAGATGAGGCATGCTCTTCCGGAAATTTTGGAGAACTATTTTGGAAGTGAGGGGAGTTTTCTTTGTATTCCAGAGGTCAAAGTAGCATTTTACCCAAAGGACTCGGGTGTGGCTCCAGTTGGGGGATGGCTCAACTTTTGAAGTTTACTGAAATTTCATTTTTTTAATTAATTAATTTTGACTGTTAACTGTTTTTCAAAATTTAATTTAGGAATTTGAGTTTTTAAAATTTAAATTTTCAGACTGTAATTTACCTTTGCAAATAAAAGTTTTAGAAATTTAGTTAGACTTAATTTTTTTAAAATTCCATTTGTGACCTTTTCACTTAGTTAAAATCTTTTTTACTTTAAAATATTAATTTAAAATTTGATTTTGTGAATAAATTGTCTAAAAGTTTTAACTTGCCACAGTTATTTCTTTTATTTTAAAATTTGGCGCCTAGAAGGAAATGGCAACCCACTCCAGTGTTCTTGCCTGGAGAATCCCGGGGACGGGGGAGCCTGGTAGGCTGCCATCTATGGGGTCACGCACAGTCGGACACGACTGAAGTGACTTAGCAGCAGCAGCAGCAGCAGAATTTAATCCTCTCCTTACCCCCTCAGCCTCCTCCATGGAGCTGCTGGGTGATTTCTTTCAGCTCTGTCTTCCACTTGGCTGGTTCTCTCTTCAGCTGTGGCTTATCCACCACCTGAACCCATTAAAAGTAGGGCTCCCCAGGTCGCTCAGCGGTAAAGAATCTGCCTGCCTGTGCAGGGGACGCAGGTTCAATCCCTGGGTCAGGAAGTTCCCCTGAAGGAGGAAATGGCACCCCACTCTAGTATTCTTGCCTGGGAAATCCCATGAACAGAGCAGCCTGGTGGGGCTACAGTTCATGGGGTCCCAAAGAAGTTGGACATGATTAAGCACACGTGCACAAACCCATAAGTACTTAGTGTTACTGTCTTTCAGTTCTGCAAATATCTTTCTTTTTCAGATCAGTAGCTCTGTTTTGAGTGTATGGCCCCTTCTGTTTTTGATGCCTTCTTTTCCATTATTAGTTTAAACATCCTTGTCTTACAGTCTCCATCACACTCACCTAGTACCTGAAGCAGACGGGCACCCTGTTGTTTTCTGATACCTCTTTATGATTGTGTTTGTGACGTGGGATGGGGGACTCGTTCCTAGTTCCAGGTTCTGTCTGTGGAGCTCCTGGGTGGCCTGCTTTGCAGGCAAGTTCTTTTTTTTTTTTTTTTTAATAATATTTGTTTTTATTTATTTATTTGACTGTGCTGGGTCTTAGTTGCAGCATGTGGGATCTAGTTCCCTGACCAGGGATCAGACCCTGGGCCCCTGCATTGGGAGCATGGAGCCTTAGCCACTGGACCACCAGGGAAGTCCCAGGCAAGTTCTTCCAGATGGTTTTTGCATGTGCCTACCAGGTGCCCCAGAAAAAAATAAAATAAAATAAAATTTGGCGCCTGTTTTACATTTGTGTTAATGCATGATTTGTATTTATACTTCTGTTACAAACATCTACTGGCAGATGTATAGTTAGCCTTGATTTAAGCCACCCGCTAGGACAGGGAGCTTTATTCTCCCTGGGATTTGTGTTTTCACAGTTTTGGGGTCCAGGGTACCCAAAATGTGCCTCAATGGCATACTGATTATGTTGAATTAAAGTTACTAAAGAATCTGGTACTACTACAAGAACGACACTCTTAAGACTCTTCTTTCTGTCTCCCTAAAAGCAAGAAATCTCTCCTGTGAAAGGTGTACTCCATGCATTTGGTGGAAAGACACCATTAGCACCAAAAATATTCTGGGTTAAGGTTATATAAACAAACCTTACTTCTTTAATTTACTATCTCAAGCCTAAACTGTATTTAGATTCTTCACTAACTGGGCACCCAGAACCTAAGTTTCTTTGTCTAAAAAGTATAAAAGCTGCCTGATTTGGCCACTTCTTAAGTCCCATTTCTATGGGACCTCCATGCTCATGAATTATATTTCTTTCTTTTTCTCCTGTTAACATCTTGCAACCACAGGTACTCAAGAAGAGAAGGGGAAATTTCCCCCTCCCCAACAACAGATTTGCTGTTAGATCTCAAACTAATTTTCCCTCTTGTAGCCAAACACTCCAGAAAGCAAACTCACTCAGAAGGACAGCATGAATAGTGGAGTGCAGTTTGTTACACCGGCTGGTCTGAGGTAAAGTTTCCTCTTTAGCCAGGGTTCCTGACCAATTTTTGTGACAACCTTTTATGCCCAAAGTGTGCCAAGCCCACATCCCCAAATTCTTTAAAACCCACTCTGGACAATGTTAATAAGAGATACAGTCAGGTTTTAGCCATAAATTCACATTCTAAAGCTATCTGGACATACAGTTTAGCCCACATCAGTAGGTATTAAGATTACAGAAGATAGTGATTGATTACATAGTGGGCATTGCATTTCTTCTGGCTCTGAAAGGTCTAGGTACGGGGTCTGCCTGGTCTGGTTTTTATCTGTTCCGGAGATCTGTTCAGCCACTGGTATTCTATCTCCGTGGCATCCCAGATGTACAGTCCAAAAGTTTGCTGAGAGTGTAAGATGAAGTTCCTTTTCTTTTAAAAATTAACTTAGTCCAGTCAGGGCAACCTGCTCCTTTCCTCTTTCATTCCCCACTCTTGATGCTCTCAACTTCTAGTGTGAGTATCACTCATAGGGACATATTGCACATTAGGTCTTTTGGCATGTACTTGGGTAAATGCAGTCAATCTCAACGACACAAATTGGACAACTCACTGTAGAATACAAGGTCCACATAACAAAATTAACAGAGCAACTGTAACAACGATTGACAGTCTTCCACCAATCACCCTTTATCCATCACAAAACAGAAGCCCAAAAAGGTACTGAGTCATCTGACATTTGTTTTACAGGAGTTTGCGTATCTCTAAGAACCTCAGTAACATTTCCAGACAAGACTGGGATATACACACAGCACCCAACCTTTATTTTGGCACAAGTCTCTCCTTGAGCAGCAGTCAAGATGTCCAAAGCCATTCTATTTTGAATTACTGCCTTTCTCATTTGTATTTGTTCAGTATTTAATGCTTGAATTACCCTCAGGCTGTCATTTAGGGCCCTTTGGGTGAAATTAGTTAGGACTTCAACTCTAATGATTATAACTGTAGTGCCCAACGAAGGAACAAATGCAGCAGCCAAATAATCATACCAATGGAAAACTGATCATGACCATCTGGCCAGTAGGGAGGGTAAATTTAAGGGCTCCTGTATTGTTGGCCTAATGTTCCCATGGGCAAAGGCAAGACCTAAAGTACATCTTCCTACTCACCCTGTGGGTAGCCATGGCCACAGATTGGTCTTGCATAACCAATGAGTGCTGTTTGGGGCAATCCACCTGATTCTGGGGTTGACTCCCTAGTCCATCCCAGGCCATTGGGTGGATTAATTGGTATCATAAATAACTTTACAGGTCTTGTAACACTGTTCTGTCCATAGAAAGCCTACTGGCTTCAAGTCCATTTTGTCTGTTGTCTGGTTATATCCAATAGTGTGTACATCCTGTTCCCAGCAAATGTCAGCTATCATAACAAGTTATCCCTTTTCAGGAGTAATCCACATATATTCATTTCGTATCTGGTAAAATTGGTCAAAATACCTGTTTTTTTTTTTAATTGTTTGGACTTATTGGCTGTCACATAATATTGATAAGCATTTTCTGAGCTAAGAATATAATTAAAATGTATCCCATGACCTTTTGTCAGATCATCAGCCTTTTTATCGAACCAATGAGTAGTGGCTGCTGTAATGACAGTTTCCACACTTGACTTCTGTTGTTTCATCTGAAGAAAATAGTCACATAAACTAGGCATGTCACCCCTTCGTAGAGGCGACACCCACCATGGGAGTCCATTCATGACAGACATGGGCATAGCTCCACACACCCAGCAGTTAGATCTATTATGGAAGTCAGCGTAGGAGTGTGCCCATGAGATGAAAACATTGTCTTGTGCTGAAATTATGGTTAGTCCCAGGATACCAGAAAGTCCATGTAGTAGGAGTTGATTGCAGAGCTTCATTTTTTTCTTTTTAAGATGATCTTGGTTTCACGGAGATCAGTGGGGTCCTTTTGTGTAGTCCACTTAGCGTCCTCCAGGTCTGTATGGTATGTCCTCTTCACCCTCGTGTGATAGATCCAGGGAGTGACACCTGCAACTTTAACTGCCGTAGGTGTAGTTAGTACAACAGTATATGGACCTTCCCAATGTGGGGCCAAGGAGTCATGCTTCCAGTCCTTGACCCACACTTGATCACCGGGCGCAAATTCATGAATCTGCTCCCCAAGGGGGAATGACACCCATTCTTGGACACACTTAGTTACCTGGTTTATCACTTTACCTAATTATTCCATCCTCTGGGACATCCCATTCCTCTCTTACGTGGCAAATTTGCCAACACCTGTCTTACTATGGGAGGGGGTCTTCCATAGACAGTTTCATAAGGAGAATAACCATGGGAACACAGGGTCATTCTTAATTTGAGCAAGGCCACTGGAAGTAAGTCCATCCATGAGCAGTCAGTCTTTATGATCCATTTTGAAAGTGTATCTTTTAGGGTTTGGTTAGTTCTTTCCACCATTCTGGAACTCTGGGGCCTATATGCTGTATGTAATTTCCATTTGACATTTAGAGGTTTACATACTTGTTGAATTAAATCGGCTACAAAAGCAGGGCCATTGTCAGATCCTATACTGGTTGGGAACCCAAATCTGGGGATTATTTCTCAAATCAGACAATGAGCCACTTCATTTGATTTTTCAGTTCAGGTGGGGAACGCCTCCACTCAACCTGAAAAGGTATGTTCCATGACTAGTAAATAATGATAATACCAGTAGGGTCTCATTTCAGTAAAGTCCACTTCTAAATGTTCAAAGGGCAGAGTACCCTTTAATTGTATTCCCAGAGATTTCTGCTTATGCCCAGGGGCAGCATTGACCTGTGAGCAAGCAGAATAGTTCTGGGATTCCATTTTACACAAGGAAGAAAGCCGTGGTATTAAAAAATATTTCCGAATTAATTCTTCCATTTTGTCACATCCCAAGTGGGTTGTCTGGGGTACCTGAGACACTAATGAAGAGGCCATTATCTCGGGAACCAGCAACCTGCCATCCAGCAGTTCCCATCAGCCCTTTTCATTCTTGGTGGCCCTTTCTGTTTCAGCCAGCTTGGTCTTGGGCCAGGGTATACTGTGGGAGAGTTGAAGTTAACTCAGGCATTCTCAAGAGCACAAGAGTCTTAACAATCCCACCCCAGTGCCTCCAAATTCTTCAGTGGCTGGTTTTGCAGCTCTGTCTGCCTGTCGGTTTCCCCACGCCTGCAGGGTGCCCTCTTTTTGGTGAGCCCAGCAATATATTATCGCTACTTTTTCAGGTTCCCATACAGCATCTGGTAGGGTCAAGATTTCTTCCTTGTTTTTAATGTCTTTTCCGTTAGCTATCAAGAGCCCTCTCTCCTTGTATAGGGCCCCATACACATGCAAAGTAGCAAAAACATACTTAGAGTCAATATAAACGTTAGTCTTCTTACCTTTTGACAACGGGAGGGCCCGAATGAGAGCCCATAATTCAGTCTGTTGAGCAGACCAGTGAGGTGGCAGAGAACCAGCCTCGATGATTCTCGCATACCCTGACAGCCGTTGTCCTTGTTTCACCAGGCTGGCACCATCAGTGTACAGGACCCAATCTGGGTCCGGGATTGGCTGGTCTCTCAGGTCAGGTCTGCTAGCATAAACTTCTTCCAGGATTTCTTCACAATTACGTGAGGGTCCGCCTTCCCCCACAGGAAAGAGTGTAGCCGGATTTAAGGCCTGACAGAGCTCAATAGTAACATGGGGGTTCTCACATAAAACTCCCTGATATTGGGTAATCTGCTATGTTGACAACCATTTGTGGGGATCCCCTCATAGGAGAGCATTGACCTCATGGTGGACCTTTACAGTTAAGTTTTGGCCCAAAGTTAGCTTGGTTGCTTCTCAGACCAGTAAGGCAACCGCAGCAGCCGCCCAAAAGCACCTGGGCCACCCAGTGGCAATGTTGTCCAGCCGTTTTGAGAGATAGGCCACTGGTCTATCCCATGTCCCCATAGCCTGGGTTAATACCCCCATAGCCACTTTGTCCTTTTCAGTCACATAAACAGTGAAGGGTTTAGTAAGTTTTGGCAGACCCAATACAGGTGCCGATGTAATTGCCAATTTTAACTTTTCAAAGGCCTGTTGCTGCCTCTCAGTCCAATATAGTGAATCCCCTTCTGGCCCTGTTAGGAGTTCACATAAGGACTGGGTCATCTGAGAGTATCCTGAGATCCAAATTCTACAGAACTCAAAGGCTCCCCAAAATTCTCGGACCTATCGTCAGGTTTTTGGTCGTGGGATTCTCAAGATTACTTCTTTCTTGGATTGGTCCAACAGTCTTGTGCCCCCTATCAGGACAAACCCCAAATGTCTTACCTCCTCCTTGTAGATCTGTGCCTTTTTCCTCGAAACTCGGTAGCCAGCCTCCATCAACAGTTCTAGCAAAGCCTTAGTTCCTTCCCAGCAGTGTTCTTTATTCTCTGCAGCCAACAGCAGGTCGTCCGCGTGTTGTAGCAGCCAGTATCTAAACCTTTCTGGTTGGAATGAGTCCAGATTGGAAGCCAAGGCTTCCCTGAAAATGATCGGGGAATTCTTAAATCCTTGTAGGAGGCAAGTCCAAGTGAGCTGCTGTTTGGTGCTCCCTGCTGGATCTTCCCATTCAAAGGCAAAAATGGGTTCAGATACCGGTGCAATGTAGAGACAAAATTTTAGATCCAGGCAAGTATAGATCTTATCACTCGGTGGGAGGAGGCTGAGTAAGGTATATGGGTTAGCAACAGTGGAGTGTAGAGTTATGGCTGCTTGGTTGACCAGTATGAGGTCTGGTACAGGCCTGTCCTCCTGTCCCCCTTCCTTCTTAACTGGCAGGATCAGTGTGTTCCAGGCTGACTGGCATTCAATCATGATGCCCGCCTGCCGTAGCCTATTTATATGCGGCAAGATGCCAACTTGGGCCTCCAGCGGTAGCGAGTACTGACATTTCCTGACTGGTATGGCACCAGGTTTGAGTTCTCTTACCACCGGAGCTTGATGTTTGGTGAGCCCGGGCGGGGGCGTTGTGGGGGGAGGGGGGTGTATCTTTTGCCCAAACCTCAGGGAATTGTTGGATCAGCTCTCTCTCTGGATTGTTTAACCCATCTGGCTTCCTTTCCGAAGGATCATGCAGCCTCCATTCATCTTGAGGGGTTACCAAGAGGATAAGTAAATAGGTGGTCGAGGCCACTGGAGAATGGGTCTTTCTTGGGGGGAAAGGTCACTTGTGCCCCCAATTTAGACAAGTCTCTCTACAACAGACATACTGGGCATTCAGGTATATACAGGAATTCATGAGTCACTTGATTCCCAGCCCCCCCCCCCAAATCTGGCATTTTTGGGGTAGACAGAATGGTCTAATCAGCTTGTCCCTGGTTACTCCTGCAGCAATGGACCTTCTCTGGGGGGCTACCAGTTCGGTCACCACTGATATTTCTGCTTCAGTATTCACCATAAAGTCAATAATTTGGTCCTCCACTTTTAGTTTTACCATGGGCTCTTGGGGACCTTGTGTCTTTGAGCCCCAGCACCGCTATTCAGCCTCCAGTTCAGCCAGCCCTAAAACAGCCAATGCCAGTTATTTTTCCCAGCTTTTCTGGGACCATTCATTTTTCCAATGGCCAAAGCCTCGGCATCAGGCGCATTGATTTGGTTGCAGGGCAGTCCTGGGCTTCCTTGTAGGAGGATTGCCAGGAGACCAACGCTGATTTAGAGGGGGTGGAGGTTTTGGGGAAGGCCCAGGGAAGGGCCTTCCCAAGGCCTCCGCCAATAACTCGATCCTCTGATCTGCTCTCTTGTTATCTTCTCTCCTTTTTTTCTCAGCCTTCTTTTTTGCCTACATGTCTCTTTTTCTGAACACCTTACTAGCAATCTCTATTTGTGAGCTGCTCATGGCTAATACTCCATCTACCTTTTGGAGCTTGTGCCTGATATGAGGGTAGGCTTGAGATACAAAGCCTGTATTTATCACAATTTGAGACCAAGCTGCCTCTGAATCTATTAATGTATAAAGTCTATGGGTCTTGCATAGTCTTTCATAAAACTCAGTAGGTGTTTCAGTTTGCTTTTGGACTACTTCAGTAGGTTTTGCCATAGTTGTAGGAGTAGGGGCCGCCCTCTTGAGACCTTGTTTACGGTACACCCGGGGGCCACTTCTTGTAGCCATTTTCTAGCATCAGTATGGATCCTGTGTCTTTCTTCAGTGCTAAAGAGGGTGACTAGCAGCTGGATTATGTTGCCCCACGTAAGACAGTAGGTTCGAAAAATAGTCTCCATCAGACTGATATGCCTTGTGGCTCCTCCTAGTACGGTGGAGTGAGTTTCTGCCAATATAGTAGGTCCATAGAGGAACATGGTTGGTAATAGTAGGTTCAGGGAGGCTGGTGGTAGTGTCTGTCTGCTCCCTGAATCGGAGGCTGTTGCAGCTCTCTGTGAGGCATTTGTTGAGGGACCCTTTCCCCACTCCCCCTTGGAGGAGTGCAGCCTCTGTCTAATTCCTGTGTCTCCTTCCCCCTTTGCGTCACTACTCACCGGGAGAGGCGGATACTGCTAAGGAGGTTCGGCTGAGGCTGAGCCCTGTGGACGATGACCAGAGGCTCCTACAGCCGGGATCGGAGCCTGCCGAGATGGCGGCTCTACGATCTCCCCGGGAGTTGGCGGGGGAGCAGCTGATGGAGCCCCAGCAGGCCCGGGATCGGTGATCATTAAGGCGGTCTCCGGTCCTGGTGAGCATTAGGTGGCCGGAGCGTCATCCAGGATGGGGGAGAGGGCAAATCGCGTCCGTCCGGATCCGGCAAATTTCTTGTTTGTCATCAGTCGATTTTTGTGCCATTAATGTTTTCCCTCTCTCTTTCTGAATGGAGTCTTGCCCAAGGGGGAGGATCTCGAGCCAACCACAGCCATGAATCAATATATGGAAATTGATCCGGGTGCCCCGGCTTTCCTGTGACTACTACAGAGACTGCTTTTATTGTTTCTAAGTCCATGGTGCCCTCTGGTGGCCATCCTACTCCCAAAGAGGGCCATTCAACCTCACAGACTGCGGAGTCGGTTAGGCGTCATCTTCACCCCACAGTCTTCGCCAAATCCCTTAAAATTCTTAATCATGCACTCCAATACAGTTGCCTTAGATTCACTTCCTCCCATCTCGCTTACCTTCTCGGACCTTCTTCTTCCTTCCCTTTTCGTTCTGTCCACGAAGCTCTCGGTATCCTAAGTCCTTCTTGATTTTTCCACTCAATGAAACACTTAAATTGCCATTCCGCCTCCTTCTTAATCGGGGTGAGTAGAGCCTTCTTGCCAGAAGAGGGATCGGCGTGTCTTCACCTGCAGGTCCGCACGGCCGAACCAGAACACCAAGTGGTCCAAGATTGTTTCTCCTCTGACTTTGAAAGTCCGTTCTGCCTTGGCGGACTTGATCGGGTGCAGACGAAAACATAGATGGATTCCCACGTCCCAGACTGTCTCCGGAAAGGTCAATTTGTATTCACTCGCATATCTTCCTCCTTTTAGCCTGACAACCCTGAGAGGATCGAGCATTCCACAGCAGATGGGACCCCTCCTCTGGGAGGGCAGAATATAAGCACACAAAGACCAAGTTTCCTCCCCCCAAAGCCCTCTCGCAATCGCCTGGTAATAATTTACCCCAAGACGACGCGGACACCACCTTCTTTATGACTTTGACGGTCAGTGTGTGTCCCCTATTCCCTCCCAGGGGGTTGATCAGGCACCCTCTTCCACCCCGCAGGGTGGGAACCTCCTTACCTGAGCGCTTAACTCCCCTGCCGCCGTCCACTACCCACTAACGTGAAAGATTTCGGCGTGGAGAAGCGGAATCTTTCCACAAGTGCGAGGCGCCTTCCCCCCTCTAGAGAATCCGCGCCGCGAAGCCTCGGAGTAGCCCCAAATGGGACTTGTCTCTCACAGTGAGGGGTTTCCCGGCCAAAGCACGAAATGTAGCCAAACGCTCCGGGAAGCAAACTCACTCAGAAGGAGAGCGTGAATAGTGGAGTGCAGTTTATTACACCGGCGGGCCCGAGGCAGTTTCCTCTTTAGCCAGGGAACCCGACCGATTTTTGTGACAAGCTATTATGCCCAAAGTGTATGTGCCCAAGCCCACATCCCCAAATTCTTTAAAATCGGCTCTGGACAATGTTAGTAAGAGATACAATCAGGTTTTAGCCATAAATTTACATTGTAAAGCTATCTGGACACACAGTTTAGCCCACATCAATAGGTATTAAGATTATAGATAGTGATTGATTGGATAGTGGACATTGAATTCCTTCTGGCTCCAGGAGGTCTAGGTATGGCGTCTGCCTGGTCTGGTTTTTATCCGCCCGGGAGGCCTGTTCGTCTGCTGGTACTTTATCTGCATGGCTTCCCAGATATACAGTCCAAAAGTTCACCGAGGGTGTAAGATGGAGTTCCTTTTCTTTTAAAAATGAAGTCAGTCCAGTAAGGGCAACCTGCTTCTTTCCGTTTTCACCTCCTTGAGCTGAACAACCGCTAGAACGGACTAGGCCCTGGCCGTTCCCAACTATGGCGCGGCCTCGAACGCGGTCCCTTCATCAAACCAGAGGCCGCTTTCCCGGCTCGCTCCCTTCATTTTGTGTCTGGAGGACTTGTCCGTTTGTGCGCGCTCCCTGTGTCCTTAAGGCGCCAAGGTTCCTCCGACCCACATCTGCCTTGGGGTCGACTGCAAGGCGCCCTGAATGCGTACAAATACTTGGGCCGGCTTCCTGGAAGGGGCTGTGGACGAGTTTGTGGCTCAAGATTTCCCATCCCGCTGGAACTAGGGAGGCAAGAAAGCCAGAGGATGGAAGCAGTCGTAAATCTATCCACACTCATAATCCGAGATGACCGTCCTTGCGGAACAGTACTCCAAGTATATTTTCTAAAGTTAACTCGCCGCGCTCTTTGATGGAGTGGTTCTAGAGACTAATAAACTGTATTTCTCTAGTTCTCATATGACTGTTTCATTCACTTATGAACGAGAACTTTGTCAGTTGCTTCCTACTTTTTTGGAATGGAGAGAGAAACAAACTAGGTTTCGCTTTTAGCTCTTGACACCGACGTCTTCAAAATACTGAGCCACAAAGAGTGAAACGAGAAAACTTTTGGGGATTGACTGAAAGGATGAGGGAAGTGGGTCTTGTGCAGGAGTAGATGATGTCAGCTGCCACTGTGATGGCCACAATGGTAAATTATGATGTGTTCTTTACCTTGGGTGTATTTGAAATTGTCATTGCTAAAACGTTTATTCACAGAAGTCTCAACAGAGAGCTCTAAAGGGCCTTTGAACCTTTAAGAAAAATGAAAATGAAAAAAAAACATTGTGGTAGGGTGACCTCTACCCCCTTTGCCGTAACCCCTTCTCAATTCCTTGAAAAACCACTTTCTGGAGACTCTTTAGCGACCCAGATGAAAAAAATCTTTACTGACTGCTTCCTGTGCCTACCTCAGGTTCACTTGTTTGTTTATATATCTATTCCTACAAGGTCCTCGTTTTTAGGCCTGCAATGGTTTTCGTAAAATAAGACCTCCTTCGAGCCGGATTCGAACCAGCGACCTAAGGATGACCACTAATCCCGTTTCACTACAGTCCTCCGCTCTACCAACTGAGCTATCGAAGGAGCTGCTGAGAGTACTCTTAGAATACTTTTAATAATCATTATTTATTATAATTTTGTTTTGACTAAGTTTATTTAAAAAATAGAGGCAAACATGCAAGGTGCTAGAAATATTCTAAAATTAATATGGGTAGTGATTATAGAAGTGTATTTTTAAAATTAATTCCCTTGAACACTAAGGAGCTTTGTTACTCCTGCTGGTCTATCCGCTTAGATCCTCTTCTCTCAATCAAAAGTGAGACACGACTGATAAGGTTTTCCTAAATGCGTAGGAGAGGGACGTATTATCTTAAAGCGGAGTTACTGTCAAATTCATTTGAACAGGGAAAGATCTTTGTCCATTGACTTGGTTCGGTTCGGCGTGTAATTTCCAAAAACTCTCCTCCTTCGAGCCGGAGTCGAACCAGCGACCTAAGGATGACTAGCAACCACGTACCTACAGTCCTCCGCTCTACCAACTGAGCTATCGAAGGATCACCTCTAGGTAGCCTTATAGACTTCCTTTTCTAATGTCTATCCAGATGATTTCTGCTTTGATAATATGCATTCATCTTTAAAAGTATAATTAATTTTAAGCAATCTTTTTAAATGCTAAATAGGTCCTATATCATGATCTGGTTAGTTGCTTTCACAGATTTAATAAATATCTAAAATCCATTGGGTTGTACATCTAGGACGTTTGGATATTATTCTATGTATATCTTGAACAAAAATTCTACCGGTATCCCATGTCCTCCTCCCTAAGTATTATATACCTAGGGTGGATTTCTTGCATTACCCCTGATTTCCTGCTGTTCCCTCTAATTACCATTTCCTTTTTCTCTAGAAAAAAGTGTCTAGGTTTGTTGGATAAATGATATAATTACTGAAAACACAAACAACCGGGTTGAAGAGGATCCCTAAGTTGTGAATAGAGCAATATCTGGTGCATTTTCGTATCATTGTGATTCTTTCTGAAAGTCTAATGGGAAATCGTGTGTGTTCATAGCTCTAATGATGTGGAGTGTCCATTTCTTTTAGTTGGATAAATAATTTGGGTGGTTCATATTAATGAATGAATAATAACGAATGATTCAGTTCAATTCAGTCACTCAGTCGTGTCCGACTCTTTGCGACCCCATGAGTTGCAGCCCACCAGGTCTTCCTGTCCATCACCAACTCCCGGAGTCTACCTGCCCAAACACATGAACATCAAGTCGGTGATGCCATCCAGCCATCTCATCCTCTGTCGTCCCCTTCTCCTCCTGCCCCCAAATCCTGCCAGCATCAGGGTCTTTTCCAATGAGTCAGCTCTTCGCATGAGGTGGCCAAAGTATTGGAGTTTCAGCTTCAGCATCAGTCCTTCCAATGAACACCCAGGACTGATCTCCTTTAGGATGGACTGGTTGGATCTCCTTGCAGTCCAAGGCACTCTCAAGAGTCTTCTCTAACACCATAGTTCAAAAGCATCAATTTTTCAGCGCTCAGCTTTCTTCACAGTCCAACTCTCACATCCATACATGACCACTGGAAAAACCATAGCCTTGACCAGACAGACCTTTGTTGGCAAAGTAATGTGGTGCAATTAAAGTGAAACCAAAATACCTATAAATTTTAAAGGCAAATATAAATAAATGTTTTTTCCAGAGAAAATCGTCAAACATTGAGGTTCAACAGAGATTGCCTTAGACTAAAGCAGAAATAGACATAAGTGGGGAGTACACTAAATTATCTGGAGAGAAAAGGCTTTCTTAAGGAGAATATTTTATAAATATCTGTGCTTATTTATACAAATTTATGCAAAACTATATTGTTTCTACAAAATGATAGTATTGAAAAATATTCCAAAATTTTCCTTAAATGGCAATTGCTAACGCCTTCTATTTAGGAATATTGAGAGCATGTAGCCAATATTGAATTCAGTAATTAAATCCCTTTTCATGAAAAAACTATGAAAATATCTAGCAACTTTCAGTGTTCCTGATGTAACAGAGAATTAGCAGCTGGAGAGGAGAGATCCTAGAAAGTGAAATTTCTCTTTCATTGTCAAGTGTCCTATCCTTGCTTCAAATACAAGGTGGAAAATAGCAGATATGCCAAGAGTAAAAATTCAGCATGGTGCTGGATTCAATTGCTGCTTCAGAACTGTTGAGTCTGTTGGGATGCAGAAGTCTTACTGGGGTGATACTTAGAGGAGCAGGAAGCTCCCAGAAAGGAAACTGAAAAGACAAGTCCACCTTGCCTCTTCCTCCTCCAGCCTTGCATTCTCCCTCTAGCTTCCTTTTCGGCAAAGGAAGGGGACAACAGAGGATGAGATGGTTGGATGGCATCACCGACTGGATGGACATGAGTTTGAGTAAGCTCGGGGAGCTGGTGAGGGACAGGGAAGCCTGGCGTGCTGCATTCATTGGGGTCGCAGAGTCAGACATGACTGAGTGACTGAACTGAATAAAGAGCCTAGTAGTAAGTCAGCAGTATGGTTTATAGAGTCCTACCTCCTTTATCACAAGGCAGATTAAACGATGAGTGTCTTAGTCTGCACCAGCTGCTATGACAAAGTACCATAGACTGGGTGGTTGAAATAACAGAAATTAATTTTCTCACAGTTCTGGAGGCTGGGATGTCGGAGATGAAGATGACAACCATTCAGTCCCAGGTGAGGGCCCTCTTCCTGATTTGACAGAGAGGACTCCGACGTCTCCCATTATGAGGATAGTACTCCTACGGGGCCAGGGCCCCACCCTAACTACCACGTTAACCGTAATTACTTTCTAATTCCAAATACAGTCACATTTGGATGTGGGAAGAACACAGTTCAGTCCAGAGCAGTGAGCTTAGAGTTCAGTCAATAGTTTAACAACTGGTAAAACGTCCGTGTGAATTTTAAGACAGTATTCTTGATCTTCATTTTACCTCTAATGGAAGCTAAGAGGTTCGAATTTTAATACCTAATCCAATGCTATTGGAAACTAGAACTTCTAGCTCATGGTTGAAAGCTCCAAGTTGGTCCCAGTTCATAAACAGTCATCCCAAAGCTCAATCCATGGATCTGAATTGTGAAATCAGG